ATTGAGGCTATGTTTTAGATAATTTGATATGTCAGTTTCAACATTTGGACACTGCTGTAACGCACAAGATATACAATATTTTTTTCGAGGCTTAAGAGTTATACATCTCGTAGGGTGGATAGCATATTTGAAGAAGAAGGAATCACTGCTATTCTTCACCAGAAATCTAATTCATTTCCATGCCCCGGTTCCAGAATGGTTATAGGCACTGCAGTTGAATTCCGATCATATTCTTATCCATGACCATTGCTGTATGTATTCAGGATTTATCTTTGGAAATAAAATATCAACCAGGCGTTATTAACATACATTAAAAACATTCTTTTGCAAAGGAAACAACGGATTTTGCCTCACCAAAGATATGTAGCTAATACGTGTCATATGGTATTAAGAATTATTTTGACAGGCAGGAGTGAGCGAGTTTGGTTAAACGCCGCTTTTAACTGTACTCAAGTTGTATCAAGGCGTGTCAGCTTAAAGTGGGTCTTCGACGTTTACCACTTAGGTGAAATCCACAAGCACAGGTATGGTGCTGACAAACCTCGAAACATAATTGGGTCGAACAGGGGTTCGAACCCACAATCATAGGTTTCAAGCGTACCCAAGGGACGCAACTGCACAGCGAAAATGCCGCTCCTCAGAGGACTGGGCAACCCGTGCCCTTAATAGGCATGAACAACAGCTAATCACGAGGACAAGGGATTATTTCATGAGTGGGGAAAACACTTACAACTCATAAACTTGGCATATTTATAGAAAATAGGTTGATGTCAAATGAATAATTGTTTGAGAACCTAAAACTATAGTGCCCTCTTGGACAAGAGTGAAGATATCAGAGTATCGGGTAGGACATCACGCAATAAAGAAATGTTTAAGGTAGGGATTTTGTTAAAGTTCACACTAAGAATGTATATTATATAAAGTATATTCATTGAAATACGACACGATAAATGGGAGTGGGATCCGTGAAAAACTGTTGATCCCTCAGCAATCTATTCTTTTCGCAAGGGGAGACTAAACGGCTGTTGAGACTCACTGATTAGGTTTATAGCATGACACCGTGCGCCAACGGTTTAGGTCGTTGCTCATGGCGATTGTTTCCAGGCGGACGTAAAATACTAGAATATTGCTGTGTGAGGAATTCAACAACAACAACAACAACACACACACACACACACACACACACACACACACACACAGCTGGGTTTAACGCCACTTTGAACAGTAGTTTAATTATCTCATGGCCTCGCAGCTTGGTATGTGTGGAACATTCTCAGATGTGCACTCCCACCAACACGGGTGTGGTGATGACAAACACGTAGTTACAGATACAAATTGGACATTAAAACCTTAACACTGGCTCCTAATGGATAACTGTCCGTGGAAATGCGTGTGGAGGGGACATCTGAAGCTCTGGGTAAGAATAGGTCTCCAGCACCCCATCGTAATAGGCGACTTACAGGATCGAGTGGTCAGGTTCGCTGACTTTGTTGATGCATGTCATCGTATCCGAATTGCGTAAATCGATGCACATAATATCATTCATTGGATTGTCTGTTCATATAGCTGGAATATTGGTGAGAGCGGCGTTTAACAAACAAACAAACAATGTGCAGGGACATCCTGCACAAAGATGCTGGGACGATGATTACTCGTAAGATACCACCCAACATTCACACAGTGTTGAACTCTAAATCCGGACAGAAACCAAATTTTCTTTTTCAAGGCAACACGCCAGGTGTTTGATGCTGCTGGGAAATATCTGAAAGGAATGAAAGACTTTGGAGTCACTGAAGACCTCACTGAGAGAGTGAGAAAGATACTCTCACGATTGGCTCCCTTGATGATAATGGCACGCGAGGACAACAATGTATCTTATCTCAGCTATGATAAACTGATAATTTACGGCACTGTGTATACGTAGGATGAGGAGACTTCACATATGCACCAGGTTGGGAACCTGGAGTTCTAAATCAGCTTGAAACAGCCGCCTTCTCCCGGACCTATTTCTTCCGGTTCGTTACAATCCGGCTGTTGCAGTTCTTCTCGCCTCTTACCTTGATTGACAGCTACTATTAACATTGTTTTGATCCTACTCTCAGTTGATTGGCTACTGACTGTGTAGGTGTGTCAAGTTACGTGCATAAATTAAACGATCACTTGATTCATGTCATGCCACAGTATGTATTCATCACTGTCCCGGAACGCCTTATGCACAACATGTAAACAATAAACAACAATTGCACAATGAGCGGAATACCTGTTCTGACAACAGAAACACAGCGATGAGCGGACCTTCCAGCTCAGGCATACATGAGGTGAGCGGAGCTCCAGCTCACCTCAGGGCGTTTCCTACGAGCGGCACATCTTGCTCGAGGTCGTCCCTACACCAGCACTCGGAATACCAAGCTTGACTAACACCCTAGTAACAGTGTAATGGTAGCACATATATAGTAAAGTAATGAACAACAATGGAAAGACAATGACGTTGCTCTGGACATGGGACTTCGTGCTATGACAAATGTATTGGTAGAATATTTGAATAAATTTGTTTTGGATGAATGAAATATTCAAATACATATGCACTTACATCAAATATAATTTTTTCAAAATAAAAATACATTCCATGATTTTGATTGATTAATTAATTTATTATCAATTTGTAAATGAATTTGTTTTTTATAATTTAATATTCAAATATATAATACATTTACATAGAAATAATGTTTTCGAAATAAAAATATATTCCATCTTTTAAATAAATTTATCAACGTATTGCATATTTAAATTAATTTGATTTTGTTGAATACCGACTTGTTCAGCATTTAAAGCCTCCTTTGCAAGTTGTTTTGTTTCTTTGTAAATGTTTGGTATTATCCTGTCCCAGAAGGTTTTCCGGGACGGACACTTGTACCTTGAATCTTGGCTTTGAAGTAGGTCTTTAAAGTAATAAGAATCGACGATACAGTATGATCGTAGACCTGGCCACTTTGTCACTGAGAGTGGCCACACATGGGCAATTTGAGGTGTATTCTTCAGTTGGAGAAAAGATTGGTCTTTAGGATTGGGAAATTGGTGACGAAATTGAATCTTGTTCGGGTTCCGTGGCCAAGATTTCCCGTTTGGGTATTATCCCACTTTGAGTTTTATATGACGAAGTCAACAGAATGGATGGATGATGGCGCCGTATGTCGGAGGTCTGATTTGTTGGCCCACCCGCGTAAAGGACACTTGCATTGCAAACCGCAATGTTTTCTTCTACTTAATCACTGTTTTTTTCCTTTTGAGGCAACCCCTCACTCCATCCCCCAACCCCCTACCCCCCCCCCCCCCCCCCCCCCCCACACACACTCCCCCCAAAAAAATATTTAAAAAATATATCCGACGTTAACTATTAGGCTACCCCACTACCCCTGTCATTGGATAAGTATCATGTGAACATTATTTTCATTCCAAGACTTAAATTTTAAGAACAAGAAAGATGCATGTATGCCACATTCCAAACAACAAAAGGTACCTAAGTGGTTCGACCGTCAAAGTCAACAATTAAAGCGTGAAAAATATGCTTTTGACTATACATAGAAAACTTTGCTGTTGATTGTAAACAATATATGGACATTAAACACTATTTCCAGGCAGTTTGTAAACAAGCATATGACCTTAAAGTAGTAAAAGACATAAGCAGAGGCTGCTAAAAAAAGGATTGTAGAGGTTTTTGGAAGTCTCAAAAATCCCTGTGGCATGGAAAAAACATGTCAGCTGAAAATGTAACATCTGCTTGGTCATTTTAAAATTTTGACGTTTCTTTTTGGGTTCACTCCGAGGCTTGGGAGAGTGTGGACGTCATTCATGTTTATACATCAACAATTAAGAGTAATTAACTATTGGCTAAAAATATTAAACATGAATAGCAACAGATAATTAAACATCGTTATTTTCTTATGAAACAATATTACATGGATTACGCAAACTGGGCATCTGCTGTCAAAATATTGTTATTTTCCCATGGTTTTAGTTTCGTTTGGATTTGCCAAGAAGTTGGAAAAAATGAATTGTTTGTGTCAGCATTTAAACAGCGTTTGTTGGATACATACAACCAAAATGACAGCATGATCTTAACAATTCCACACTTGTATCCGCACATTGTACTTTCACGTCCTTGTTCAATATTGAAAAATATGTAAAATGTATTAGATCTGTCCAGGTAAAAAGAGCTTTAAACCAATTACTTTAAAATGACAACGATAAACATGTACAAAAATGTTTACCCGATAGACATATTATGTCCATATTGTGAAGTAGGAGACGAATATCATATATTGTTTTTGTGTCCACATCATGCTTTAATTCGAGAACAATATTTACCTACTTATAACTATCAATATCAATGTTGAAAAAATTCTGTCAGTTCATTAACAACAACAAACACTAATGTTTTACTCCGTTTAGCGGTGTATCTGTATAAAGTATTTAAGTTACGATAGCCCTCAGCCCTCCAGGTAGAATAGGTCTTCATCAACCAATGCTTGCCGTGACTATATTTGGCGTAAGAGGCAACCAACATGATTGGGTGGTCAGACTCGCTGGCGTGGTCAGACTCGATGCATGTCATCGCGTATCCCAGTTTCGTGGATCGATGGTCATGATGTCAATCACTGGATTATTTACAGACCGCCGTCATATAGCTGGAATATTGCTGAGTGCGGCGTTTAAGATCAAACAAACAAACAAACAAACATGGGAAAACTACTTTTGGCCTCCTGGCCCTGAAATACAATAAACTTCTGTTGTTCTGTTATTCTGCTACCGCCGTAATATAGCTGGAATATTGCTGAGTGCGGCGTTAAACAACAAACAAACAAATTATTCTTCTAATATGTAACTGTATAATCTAATCATGTTCATCACGTGACAAATATTAACATATTTTAATATGCTATCTGCGTTGTACTATGGAAATTAATACTTAAATAACTGAATAAACTGTCTGTCTGTATACCCGCAGGACCACATTTTCATTCACATGCTATCTGCTTGAACAGCTGAGCCCCACACGGACAGATACCTGAGGTAAGATACTGCTGCCAATTTACCAGTCGAGACAGAATAATTTGTATTTGTAACTTTGTTGCAACTGGGATTAAAGACTTTTAAAAAATGATTAAATCGATGCATATAGGAGTAGTCTATAATCATTTATACTGGACCAGTGAAGACGCTGTTAATCCGGACGGATCCGTTTACAGTCCGGATAATAAAATGTCCGCATTAAAGAATGGTTAATTAGAGTAAGGTCACTTTTGTTTTATAAGAGGTCGTCTGGAAGAAGGAATTTGAGAGTCAAACTGATCTGGAGTGCAAAGAAATGGGTATTATTTGAAGTGGCAAACATGTACCGACATAGTTGTTTTACTAAATCTGGAAAAATGTAATTCTTAAATAAATGTGACATAAAGTACAACGAGTGTGGAGTAAATAAAAGCGTCAAAACCCTTTCCATTTTCAATCGAATATACGATTACGACCGCATGAGCGTGTGTTCATAAAACACTACCAAATCGTGAGGATACCAGGTGTTCGCGAAAGGGTAAGCGTATCCTGCTCCGTCGGTTGGCACCCGTAACAAACACATGCAAAGGCAAGTTAATTGTTCACATGAAAAAACAACAAAACGGTAACATGTGGTTCAAGTCAAAACAAGGAATTGCGTCGGATATTTTTGTCACTGATGCGTCAAATGTCGAAATGTCCTCCACATATACTCACACGCAAAAGAAACACAAGTCAAGTATGCAGTATTCATGTTATTTATTTTCAACAGTAAAGACAAGAAATACTAATAGGGCAAGATTGATAAAAAATTGACTGAAGACAGTTTAATGGATTAAAAGGCAGATGACATAATTGTGTTTTTCAAATGTTAAGGGCTTACACAGTTTCGGGTCAATACCCAAAATGTCAGTCAATACCTGGTGTGATCACCATTAGCATTGATCACTGCCACACATCTCCTGCACATTGAGTGGATCAGACGATTTGTGAAGGCCCTAGGGATCTTCCTGCACACATCCAGAGCAGTTGTGCGTAGTTCATCGGCAGTTGTAGGGACTGGGCGCACATTGTGCAGACGCCTTTGAACCTCATCCCATAAGTGTTCCATGGGGTTCAGGGCTGAGGGCTAGCCACGGTAGAGCACGGATGTTGTGTTGTTGCAGAAAGGCCATGGTAGCTCATGGAAAATGTGTTGTTGATGTTGTGCAAAAAATCGAACAATGTGGGGTCTGATCACTTGGTCGATATAGCGCTGAGCAGTTACGCCGTGTCCCCGACCTTGACCAACATTCAGAAAGCACACGGGTCCAAGTCTCGCATTAAGTCCAATCCCTGCCCATATCATGACGCTAGGTCCACCCCATGGATCCCTTTCCACAACGTTTCTGTCAGCGAAACGATCACCTCGACGCCGCCAAATTCTGACTCATCCGTCTGCATGGGAGACACATTTTGGCGACTTTCATCAGAGAAGATGACACGCCTCCACTCACGATGACGCCAATTGTGATGACCATGTGCCCACTGAAGTCGTGCTTGTCGATGTCGTGGTTGGAGAACAGGACGGCGACATCTGAGGTTGATGGAGCGGAGACGTCGGATCACAGTGTCCCGGCTAATGTGTCGATTATGTGTTCCTATGGTCTGTCGAGCACTTTCACTAAGTCTTGCAGTTAGGAACGGATGTCGCTGGTGTTGACGGGTAATCTGCCGATCGTGTCGAGGTGTTGTGACCCTAGGACGACCCAGGAGACGGTAAATTGTGGTTATGTTAACGTTGAAATGACGGGCAACATCTTGGACAGACTCTCCAGCTTGCAAACGTCCGATAGCCTGTTTTCTCTGAATTTGAGTTCGATGTGGCATTGTTGACCAAGGAGTGGTAGGTCCAAGAATCGGCCACAGTTTTATACCCACTACAGTTCGTGACAGTTCGTGCATTTTCGATTTCGCAAGAAATGGGTGCACGATACCCCCGTATTCATTGAAATGGTGCGTTTTAGCGAGTATATATATAGCCCAGTATATTTGTACTGATTTTGATGTAGCTTTGGAATACAGTACAAAAGAGGATTTGACTTGTCTTCAGGTTTTAGAGTCAAATAAAACAATGATAGTACTTATGCATAGTTTTGGCAGATTTCTTCCTCAGTTAACATACTGGCCTTATATGTGGCATTAAGTGATACATCACTTATACAAGGGTCTTTGATAAACTAATTAATGTAGTGGTGCTTACATTTACAGTCAACTACGGTTAAAACGAACTCAAAGGGACCACTAATTTCAGTTCGTAATAACCGTAGTTCGTTATAAGCATATATACAGCAGATATCAAACAAATGGCCGGGACTAAAAAAAAAGTTCGTTATATCGGTCAGTTCGTTATAAGCGTGTTCGTTATAACGTAGCTTACTGTAATGGTATGTTATTTGAGGCTTAATCAGTGGGAACAACAACAACCATTTCATGAATGTTTGTTTGTTTTTTAACGCAAAACTCAGCAATTCTCCAGCTATATGACGGCGGTCTGTAAATAATCGTGTCTGGAAAGACAATCCAGTGATTGACATCATGAGCATCAATCTACGCAAATGAAATACGTTGACATGCATCAACCAGGTCAGCGAGTCTGACCACCCGATCCCGTTGGTTACCTTTTACGGCAAAAATAGGTTGCTGAAGAACTTGTCCATATGCATGACACTACAGATCTGTACCAGATATAATAATGAACTTGTGCATGTATATATATTGTATATCGTATTCACCATAACTATTCATCACAAAGGTTTAATAGGGCTTGAATCTGGTGAATAAGCTGGAAAACGATATTACTTTGACATTATTCTGAGCACGACACGTGTAACAGGTGTGGCCGAGGATTATCACGATGGAATGTCGTGTTAAGCGGAGAATGTGACAAATGTTGGTCACGTAGTGCGTGTAGTGCGTGTAATGCGTGTAGTGCGTGTAGCGAATTCTGCACAGCAGTCGTTCATTTGTAAGCCCTGCCCTGAAGTGTTGCTCATAACTCTCTCTCAACGTTAACGCTGTGCAACGCCACGCACATACCTCTCGCGCGTTCATTTAGTGCTAATCGTGGCAGTTTCTAAGTGCCCTGTAGTGTAGCCAACACACACACAACGTCACTCACTGTACTCAACATTGGACATCGTTGACAATTTTGCCAAATATTATATTATGTAATCTTTCATCTCTGAAACTGCTTTCCCTAATGTGACGATAATTTGCACTTTCTTACCATAAAAAGAAATACCATGTCAATAAAATAATGCTGACATCTCACATCAAACATATCTCCTCACACAACTCATAATCAATATCTTGGTGAGGATAGTAACCCACTTTTACTGCACATTTGAACTATTGATGAGCGATGACATATTGCCAACACGATAAAACGATTTCAAGTATGAAGACATTGCACGGACAAACGCAAGGTGATTGGGTTTCACCACCATTATATGGGAAACGTTACTTTTGTAGCATGTATGTCGACATGTTGGTTTAATTGAAATGTCAAGCCACGCATTTACGGAAACAAAACATACAAATCATGTGCGTTGAATGTTCATGCATTCTTTTCCAGCAATAAGAGATACTTCAAAATCGTCTTTCTGTAGTTAATTGATGCATCTGACCGTTTCTGATCGTTAGCTGACATTATGAAACCATTCATGTGTAATCCGATGTCCTTTTTTCCTCAAGGACTAATTTTCTGATTTTCACGGTGTATACAAAAGAAGAACAGTCTCCGGACATCATAAATAACAGCATAATATAAAATATGTTCTGAATATGCTCATCTCAAAACAAATGTAATATGGCTGAATTCCACATTCGACATACCACACTTTTGATTGTTTGGATGCTCATGTTCACTGGAAATAATTGGAATAGTTATATTCCGTATTTTGAATTAACCCAGTCCCCCGTGTTTTTTTTAATCAGTGCACCGCATACAGCCACACGTGAAACGTTTGGTAGCAAAGTCAAAGCAAAATCGGAGTATTGTGTCGGCGAATTTGCATCAAGGTTGTAGTATTTTTCAACCGTTTAATGGAATTCAATTTACAGCCGTAGCTCTGGTCACTCATATATTTTGTGTCCCATGGCTCAAATCTATTTGCGTCTGTACTGTGTTCCACTGACCTTGATAATCTGATGGATGAAGGCACAGCTCTCTACAGTCACATAGTTAACACCGAATGCTATGAGGAGTATTTAGGTCATAATCAGCTCCAAGCAGCCACTGCCTAAAGCGATATTGTCTACATAACAGATCAGTTTTATGGCTCCGTCACAGGTGCTCCAAATATTTAAGCAGGGAAAACAAATTTCATAGAATCATTTCAACAATCAATATTGATATCCCCGTCACTTTTGGTAACTTTTAATGATGTCTCCATTGCAATTTTTACGGATTTTGATTCGTGTGCATTATTTGACACTCATCAGCGGAATGATTTGGGTCAGATTGATCCGAATGGACAAGCGGTTTTACTTCTGTTTAGAAGTATGGCTGAATTGTTATGTTACATCTTAACAGTATATCAGGCGACTATGCTTGTCGTAAGAGGCGACAAACGGGATCGGGTGGTCAGGCTTTGGTTGATGCATGGCATCGACCCCAATTGCGCGGATCGATGCTCATGATATTAAGCACTGGGTTGTCTTGTCCAGACTCGATTATTTACAGAACGCCGCCATATAGCTGGAATATTGCTGAGCGCGGCGTTAAACAACAAACAAACAAACAAAGATAAGGTCTTAGGGGTAAGAAATTTCATTTTCAAAAAGTGTCTGAAATGTGACAAAAAAATTGTCAGACACACTACAAGTTCATTGTCGACACAGTTGCCTTCAATGGCGTGTATGATCTCCAGCTGCCTCAATGCATGCTGTGATACGCCGCCTCATCGATGACGTCAGTCTTCTGATGACGTGGACAGGAATCTGTTGCAACTCGTCTCTCAGGGCCTGCTGCAATTCTTGTCTGTTGACGGGCGGCTGATGGCGTGCTCTAATCTGTCTGTCAAGATGGTCCCATAGATGGTCAATAGGATTCATATCGGGGCACGGGTGGCCCAGTCGTCTAAGGCGCCGCGGTTCGTTGTGCAGAGTTGCGTCCCTTGGGCACGCCAGAAACCTATGATTGTGGGTTCGAATCCCGGTTCGCCCCGATTATGTTTCTAGGTTTGTCAGCACCATACCCGTGCTCGTGGGTTTCACCGAAGTGGTAAACGTCTGAAACCTGCATCACTTCGGGCTTTCCTCCCACATTAAGCTGACATGCCGCGATATGACTGGAATACTGTTAAAAGCGGCGTTAAACCCAACTCACTCACTCACTCACTCTGGCAATTTGGAGCTGTGTTGCCCCCATTTCGGCCATACCGATGGCTCTCTTTCTCTGCTCCTGTGACGGTCGTGGCATTTCTTTTGTGTGCTTTAATCACGTGTGGTTGTACCCTGCAGACGAACGCATTGATACAGCTAACACGCACGTGCAGTTTATGCCATAGGCGGGAAACCCGTTTCACCATTTTTTTGTCACCGCACGAGCGCCGTCAAAGGTGGCGCGTTCGGGTGAGGTTTTTTTTGGTACCCGTTCCTGGGCAGTCATATTCCCAATACCCACTTTCCACTTGTTATCGCTGTTTTTAGGAAAATTACAAATTGCCAACCTATACTTTCTTTTGTCGCTTAGTTTATGTGTGTCTTTACTATAACTGTGCTCATGGCTTTCACCAAAGTGGTATACGTAGGAGGAAAGCCCGAATTTAAACAGATCTTTGACTGCTTAGGAGGTGAAAAACCAAGCATAATAACCCAACGATCATAGTTGGTTGGCTGGTTGGTTGTTGTACGCCGCACTCAGCAATTTTCAAGCTTTATGACGGCGGTCGTAAATAATCGAGTCTGGACCAAACAACCCTGTTCTATATGTCCTGCTTCAACTTGGTTGGTTGGTTGGTTTGTTGTTTACGCAGCACTCAGCAATATTCGAGCTATATGACGGCGTCGTGTAAATAATCGAGTCTGGACCATCAGACAATCCAGTGACTGACATCATGAGCATAGATCCACGCAGTCAACCAAGTCAGCGAGCCTGACCCGCCGATCCCGTTAGTCACCTTTTGGGGCAAGCATGGGTTGCTGAAGACCTATTCTACCTATATTCTGCAATAAGTCAAATCGATATTAAAGCCGGCTTCAGGTTTTGGTTTAAAGTGTGCATCTATCAAGTCAGAAAGTCAATGATGTACAAATATGTATAATAATTCTTTTTGACCGCAGTTTTACCATGTCTTGACCCTGTCAATTCTTTTGAAGTTTGCAATTGATAAATACGTTTTGTCACGCCATAAGTTGATAATACAGAGAAGTAAGAACCTGTCGCGATATAGTAGGAGTATTCCTGACTGTTACGTTAAACAGTAGACAACAAACATCATGTACTTGTAGGGCCATATGACCACACACGGTCCAGAATAACATGTCTATGACAGTGGGAATGACCTAACATGACATAATATTATTTCCATTGATAAAATACAGATGGGATTCCTATGTTTTAGTCGGAAGAGGTGATTAAAAAGTTGTGGTAGTTTGACACAGTTCATTTTGTGTCATCCTACTCCGAATCTGTTGGGCGTTGATCATAATATGGTTGGTTTGTTTGCCACATTCCGCAATGTTCCAGCTATATAAGGGCGGTCTGTAAATAATCGAGTCTGGACCAGACAATCCAGTGATTGACATGAGCATCGATCTACGCAAACGAGAAACGACGACATGCATGAAACAAGTCAGCGAGCGTGACCACCCAATCCCGTTAGTCGCCTCTTACGACAGGCATGGGTCGCCGAAGACTAATTCTAACCTGGATCTTCACGGGCATGTTCATAATAACAATATCAATCACTGGTTGTCCTGGTTTACACTTAATTACAGGCCACCGTGATATAACTGGAATATTGTTGAATACACCGGTGCAAAATATTAAATATGTTATCGTGTGTATATGCACTCGGCAATATTCCACTTACATGAGAGCCTACCCGTGAAGGTCCGGGGTAGAACAGGTCTTCAACAACCCATGCTTGCCGTAAAAGGCGACCATGCTTGTTGTAAGAGGCGACTAACGGGATCGGGTGGTCAGGCTCGCTGACTTGGTTGATCCATGCCATCGATCTCTGTTGCGTGGATCGATGCCTATGTGAATTACTGGATTGGCTGGTCCAGTCTCGATTATTTTACAGACCGCCGTCATATAGCTGGAATATTGCTGAGTTTTGCGTTAAACAACAAACCAACTAACCTCCGACAGCACGTGGTATTCCAGATTTACCATTGTCAGTCAGACTCGTTGTGAGAAGACGCATATTGTTTTCGTGGAACCAATCTTTATCAGTTAATTATTTACTATTCATTTTTGCAGGTTGACCACAGTGACAATGTCAAATTTCGAGCAAGAACATAACGAGATCTGTAAATATGACTATGTGCGGTTTGCCCTCTGTGATCTGAATGGCATGAGTCGTGGTCAAGTGATAGCTGGTCGCTATGCCGCCGAATACATGGACGCGGGGTTGGATATGTGCCAAGGTAAGTGCTTAAGCTTAAGCTTGGATTTAATGTCTTAAATATAATGTCTAAGCCATATAGTGCCGGGAGCACATTATACATTCATTACAAATATATACAGTAACCTCTACAAGAACACACTTTGTCATCGCTAATGGTCATACTTCTACAAAAACACACTATGTCATTGCTAATGAACATATTCCTACAAAAACACACTATGTCATCGCTAATGGTCTTCTTCTACAAGAACACACTATGTCATCGGTGATGGTCTTCGTCAAATAGAAGACACTATGTCATAGCTAATGGTCATACTTCAATAAGAACACACTATGTCGTCACTTATGGTCACATCTCTTTAAGAACACACTATTTCGTCACTAAGGCTTCTTCTACAAGAACACACTTTGTCATCGCTAATGGTCACAAATCTAGAAGAAAACACTATGTCATCGCTAATGGTCATACTTCTACAAGAACACACTATGTCATCGCTAATGGTCATACTTCTAGAAGAACACACTATGTCATCGCTAATGGTCATACTTCTACAAGAACACACTATGTTATCGTTAATTGTCATACTTCTACAAGAACACACTATGTCATCGCTAATGGTCATACTTCTACAAGAACACACTATGTCATCGCTAATGGTTTTCTTCTACAAAATCACACTATGTCATCGCTGATGGTCTCCTTCTACAAGAACACACTATGTCATCGCTAATGGTCAAACCTCCACAAGAACGCACTATGTCATCGGTAATGGTCTTCTTCTACAAGAACACACCAAATCATCGCTGATGGTCTACTTCTAATAGAACACACTGTGTCATAGCTAATGGTCATACTTCTATAAGAACACACTATGTCGTCACTTATGGTCACACATTTATAAGAACACACTAAATCGTCACTAATGGTCTTCTTCTACAAGAACACACTTTGTCATCGCTAATGGTTACACCTCTAGAAGAACACACCGTGTCATCGCTAATGATCATACTTCTATAAAAATACACTTTGTCATCGCTAATAGTCACATTTCTAGTAGAACACACTATGTCATCGATAATGGTTACACCTCTACAAGAACACACCGTGTCATCGCTAATTGTCATACTTCTACAAGAACACACTTTGTCATCGCTAATGGTCACACCTCTATAAGAACACACTATGTCCTCGCTAATGGTCATACTTCTACAAGAAGACACCATGTCAACGCTAATGGTCATACTTCTACAAGAAGACACTTTGTCATCGCTTATGGTCACACCTCTACAAGAACACACTATGTCATCGCTACTGGTCATACTTCTAGAAGAACACACTATGTCATCGCTAATGGTCATACTTCTACAAGAACACACTATGTCATCGCTAATGGTCTTCTTCTACAAGAACACACCATGTCATCGCTAATGGTCATACTTCTTTACGATCACACTGTGTCATCGCTGATGGTCTCCTTCTACAAGAACACACTATGTCATCGCTAATGGTCACACCTCTACAAGAACACACTATGTCATCGCTAATGGTCACACCTCTACAAGAACACACTTTGTCGTCGCTAATGGTCATACTTCTATAAGAACACACTTTGTCATCTCTAATGGTCACACTTCTTTACGATCACACTGTGTCATCGCTGATGGTCTCCTTCTACAAGAACACACTATGTCATCGCTAATGGTCACACCTCTAGAAGAACACACTATGTCATCGCTAATGGTCACACCTCTACAAGAACACACTATGTCATCGCTAATGGTCATACTTCTACAAGAACACACTATGTCATCGCTAATTGTCATACTTCTACAAGAACACACTTTGTCATTGCTAATGGTCATACATCTACGAGTGAGTTAGTGACTTTCGGTTTTCGCAGCCTTTAACAATATTCCAATAAAATGTATATTTTAATCTAAGCGGGTTGGTTTTAACAACGTGTTTTAACAGTAATCCAATTCCAGAACGGAATTACTGTTGCTGGAAAGATGGAAGTGATGTAGATCTGAGAAACATAATCGTGACGAATTGGACTCGAACCCACTATTAAGGGCCGATATGTTAGTCATCATCAGAGGTGTCAAGAAGGATGTCTCTTACTCTGGCAACACTTTTCTTTGCTTGAACGTCCCTGTCTGTAAAAAGAAAATATAATACAGATGGAGCTAAACGTTACATTACGTGAGAACTGCACATCATACCCTCAAAGTATCTTATGCTTTAAATATCGTTTATTTTTAAGAGATAAATCATTGTTAATTTTAACCGTCACCCCAACCCTTTAAGAAATATAAGAACCAGGAGGCAAATGCCAGTTGCAAAACATTTTCACAGTTGTGGAAAACACTGTTATGTTGAAACATTTTAAGATACTTCTTTGCATTGCCACAATACTTATACAGAAGTTTTGGCATGTCGAAAAATTGTTTTAAGAATATAAACCATGAACTGTGGAATAAAAATTAGCCTTACTGAAGATTTGCTTTAACGACATGTAAGTAAAAAGAAAATTTTGCGATTCATAACAATAAATTAAATAGACTTAGTATGACTAAAGAGGAACAATCTAATCAGGCATGTGATATTTCCCTTATTTAATACACGTTGTCAAAATGATGTTTTCTAAGACAATTTTAATGACAGAAATTGTCATTGGATCTATATGAGATTTTTTGTATGAAAAAGAGCACAAAGCTACAAAATTCCCTTTGAAGAGTAGTGACAATTCCAATACCTTTAATGCTGGGTTTATTTTCAATCTTAAATATTAAAATATTAATTGACACAGTGAAAATCAGGATAGTTTAATACTAGAGTGAGTTGGGTTTAACGCCGCTTTTTACAGTATTCCAGTTATATCGCGACGTGTCAGTTTAATGTTGGAGGAAAGCCTGAAGTGATGCAGTTTACCACTTTGGTGAAACCCACGAGCACGGGTATGGTGCTGACAACCTAGAAACATAATCGGGGCGAACCGGGATTCGAACCCACAATCATAGGTTTCTGGCGTGCCCAAGGGACGCAACACTGCACAGCGAATTGCGGCGCCTTAGACGACTGGACCACCCGTGCCTCCCTTTAATACTAGACATCATAAATTGTATCAAAAGTAAATCGTAAAATGAAAACAGAATTTAGTTTCAAAGATGACATTATGTTGTGTTTTTCCTCTCTTATTGATTCTTCAGGTTGGTATATCATGCAGTGAAGTTGTTGCATTTAGTTTTGGTTAGATGGGGATGAGTAATAGTTGAAAAGATGTAACAAACTTTATTAAACAAACTTTTAAAAGAAACCTTATTTTTATCTCTTACATGTATAATGATACGTGTACATGCGAAATACATAAATAATTATGAAAACATTTTTTAAAACATTCCAAACTGTAAGTTATTACACTAAACAAGTTTGTGTTAGTCGGCCATAATGATCGAAGGAGCCAAATTGATACGAGTGCTTACGTTCGATTTGAAAACCCGGGACGGCCCAGGTGAACCCGTGTTGACCAAGGTATGACCCAAGTTAACCTTGGTTGGCCAATATTAGGTCATGTCAACGTATTTACGTCACACTGCGGTTGACCTTGGTTGCCAATACCTTCTGCACCCATGGGGTGCGGGACTTTGGTTTGTTGCCTCCCAAGTGGCCGGTAAAGATATTAGTTTCATTTGTTGATTCAATCATGAAAAGAAGGATTTTAATTAATATAATTAACTATGTATTGATCATGTATCTTGTATTTTGTATCTTCATGTCCCCACGTATTTGTTCATTGTATAGTATTTCGAACCATGAAATAATTACTCTGCAAAAAAATATTAATAACTTTACCACTGTAGAAACATTTTTACGCCATTTCGTCTACCCATTGTGTCTCTGCCAAAATTATGTGTTTAATTCAGGACATATGATGGGAAACAAAATAGTTTTTATGCCATTCCATTCAGTTTAAAATTTTAAACAATTATACAAATAAAGAACACGGTGTCGTGCAATAAACATATTCTTCGACTGATTTTATAAAACAAAAAATATATTTAATATTTTATATTTAACAGTTGTAAAATGGTCATTTTAGAATTAAAGTCAAAGGATGTAGACAAACTCAAATTTAGACATGGATTTTTCATAACGAGTGAAATAACAGGATCTAGTATGACCTATTGCCTTAATATAGCAGCATCCGTGTATGATTCCTAATTTCACATAGATTCCGGGGCATCCGGAATCTAGTTACACGGTAATGTTGTAATTTATATGCTTAAGTGATGCTATGAACATGATAAAACTATGATATTATATTTGAGAGTCCATGGTTGATTATTAAATGATCGTCACAGATTGTGTGGAAATTATTAATTATCTTTTTATTCACATCAGTCATTTTATTCACTTCAAACTATAGTATATGTAACATGGTGAGTTGCATTTGTGACCAACTCGTCCCATTCCGGGACAAGCCGAATGTAGACAAAGGTTTCCATATTGGCGTATGAACACAGGAACGACTTCAAACAAGAACGATAACTCTTATTCTACCTGCGTCTAATAGCAAAATTGATCAGAGCTCGCATATTCCTGTTGTAAAATTATTTCTCCTTAATGATATAAATATATATTTGGAAAGCCATTCAATTCATTCGCTAACAGATGTTCATCTATTACTTGCTAAATATTTATTTTTAAATATATCAAAATTCAGATGACACAACTGACAAGACGAACGCGGTTTTCGGTTAAAAATAATTTTAACGAGCCATTCCGCGGACAAATTCAGTTAAGATTGGCGTCCTGATATTGTCTTTTCAATGGTTGAAACATAAATCTTTAAACAATCATTTATCTTATGACCGAATGTGTCTTTTCGTGAACAGAATTAACAAATGGTACACAAATTTTATATGAATTAATTACAATAACATTATAAAGGAATCCCATATCCTTCTTGTCTAGATATGTATAGAAGTATTTCTAAATATACACCAACAACATTGTGA